CCAGCACATGGTTCTCCACCTGAACAACGACATGGTCATTGTTTATTATCACTTGGCAATTCTCGTCTTTATCTACATGGTGGAATGGATGGACGAACATTTTTTTCATCACTTTATTCAATAGATATTAATGAAAAACCACCACGATGGACTGAACATATATCACCATCTTCATCATCTTGTCCAATGTCTCGTGCAGCACATGGTGGTGTTTCTATTGAAAGTACATCGACATTATTTATATTTGGTGGTTTATCACGTAGTGGTCAAGCATTAAATGATACATGGTCATGGTCAGCAAAGAATGAACAATGGACAGAAATTGTTTGTCGATCTGTACCAAAAGCTAGACTTGATTTTGCATACTGTCTTGTAGAAGTAAAAGACGATAAACAAGATTCTGAAAAAGTATTACCATTTATGTTTATTCATGGAGGAACAAATACAGAGGGAGATATTTTTGATGATTGTTTTCTGTTAAGATTAACGTTTGATAATGAATAATAAAAGAAAACAGAACATGTTTATTTAAATTTTAAATAAAGCACATAAATCACAGGATTCAAAAAAGATTAATTGTCAAATCTCATCAGCTATGAAAATGAACATGTATGTTGAAGAAAGGTTTAGTGAGATGTTTAGCAACGCCATCTATCCTTGTATCTTCATAGATTTGATTAACCAATAATTAAATAAAACAATCTCTATTTAATGTTTACTATTTTCATTTATTGTCAAATTATCATACTGATACGATGGAAGATACAACACGTTTAACAAATGATCAATCAATAAAATTATTCATACAACGAGATTATTCCGAAGGTACAGCTGTCAAATTTCAAGAACGTTTTCCTCCTGAACTTGAAGGAAAAGTAAATATCTTTTATTAACTATTTTATTTGAAATGTAATTCCAATTCATATTTAGATTGATCGTGCGAAATTTACTGATATTATACGTCATATAAATTCTATTTATGAGGATGCAGAAGGATTATCATGTAAAACATTTATGGAAAATTGTTGTGCCTGTCTAACAGGTTATTTATTATTACTTTGTATGCCTACACATTATGAAAAGGTTTGATTTCTATTTCTTATGTTCATTAAAACAAAAATATGATTTATTTTTAGTGTGTTAAACGTGCAGCCAGATATATATCAGATGAGAATGATCATACTCTTAATCCTAAAGGAATTTTTATGATTGATCCAATGGAAAAAGGACTTCGTTGTGTAAGTAATCGAATTGAATTCATTAATTTTTCTTTCATATAATATTTATATTTTAGATTGAAGTATGTATTACAAATAATCGTCGATGATTGAAATGAAATGGTTTAGACAAATCTATGAAATTTGTATTCTGCTAAATAAGATGTATATGTTCTTCTTTTATGTTGATGCAGTGTACTTGAACTTTGTTATATTCAAATAATTCTTCTAATTTCTTCTGTGTGTGTGTGAGTGTATGATAGAATAAAATATATTTCTATGGAAGTAAAATAAATAGAATTGAAATAAATTTGATTCATCTATTTTATATGAAGTAACAAAAAAAATGTTGAGGAAATGACAGGTAGCCTTGAGTAATATAACACTAAGAGAATATCATACTGTGATGATAGATCTATTAGAATCACTTCCGTTTCCGTAGTAACCTACTGATTTTATTTTACATTGAAAGCATTGCTATTAATTATTTTCTTTTATAAATGAAATTTATTTATAACTATTCAATGAATAAAGTATTCTTTACTTTTACAATATGTAATATAATGCTTGTTCAACAAACTGAAATAACTGAATTAAATATTTAACGAGGTAGCATCTAAAGTATTTCAATATGATAAATTATTCTATTTTTAGCAAAAAAAAAATTTAAGTATTATGGTTTATTGTTTCTACCATAGAAATCCATGAAAGAAAAGATTTATTATACTAGGTCATTATTTTAGTGTTGATTTTTAATTTATTGAATAAATAATTGTATAAAATATTTTAGTATGTCAGTTCATTGTTGTTTGACTAGTATATTTTTAATTTATTCAGATGCGTCATATGACCTGTTAATAACACAAGAAAAGATAAGATACATTTTTGATGAAGAAGACAAACTTAATGCACTTGAAAGATTTTTTTGTACGCCTACGTTGTCTAAAGCAAATAATATATTCTTTACATTTCCGTTAACACACAAAAAATATAATATCTGATTAGTGAATCTTTGATTAAGTTGATTTACTCATCTTTTTTTAAAAAATTTTATTAAAACAAAACTATAGAATTATTCATTTTATAATAAACTATTTATTATCATTAGATAATGACAAAATGCATTATACATACCAGCTTTCACTTAGAATAGACATGATGATAGAAATGGAAGTCTAATTGAAATGAAAGGGTAGAATTCAATAGCAAGCTTCATGTCATGAAAGAATATTTCACGCAAAACGGAAGTAACTTATTAGTAGGATGAACAACACCAATTCCTTTCAAGCTTATATACTACTAATCAATGATCTACCTATTTGAAAATAAAAACAAGCAAAAAAAATGTACCTTACTCATAAGCACCCCTCGTGTAAGTCTATGTTTCCATAGACTGTTTGCATAACTTTATTTACAACGATATCACATTCACTAAACACAGATAAATTTATTAACTCTGAGATAAATCTCATCTTGGTAAATAATATTATCTATAGTGTTCAGCATATAAACATGATAGATCTTATATGAAAGATCGAATAGTTGCTATTCCTGGGTTCGGGGACTTTCCCTCGAGTATCTGATAAATTTGAAAACAAATTTAAATCGATATAATGAGTGATCATAAATGACACTCGTATGTAACTCGAACAGCAAACGTGTAAGATACATGAAATTTCTATTCGAGTGCAGCTGTATTTATATTGATATGTCAATTACAGACAAGAAAAACGGTGAATAAGTTAATTATAGATATTGATTTAGAGCGACATCTCTTTATCAATAGGATTTCTTTTTCTTTGATGTAGAAAATGAGACTTATTAATAATAAAAATACAATAAATAAAATGAGATTTAATTCATTTTAGTCTTGCATCAAAAAGCCATCTGGATGATGTCTATACTTATTTTTTTTATATAATCGAATGCATTTATGAGGAAAAAAGACTTTTTCTTCATCGCCGCTTTTTCTAATGTTTGATGTTTTGAGGGCATATGTGAATATTCTATCTATCTGTAGGGCGAATAGTACTGTGAAAATGAAGATGAACAACAAGAACAATATTTATATTCCTTAAAAGAAGAAAAAAAAGCTAAGAAAAAAATATGAAGAAGAATAAGAAATCTAAAGAAAAGACAAGAAGCATACAGCGGAAATTGAAAGTGCTCTCTTTGTTCTGTCAGGTTAATGCGATGTTTTAATCGAAGTTAAAGAAAAAAAAATTTTATCTTCATTCATATATATTTTGAATAAATATATATATAAAAAAATGTGTGCATGTTATGTACTCCAAGCATCATCATCAATTCGGAATACTTATCGTTTTGTAAGTATCTGTTATATTAATTCATTTAGTTTTCTACAAAATTTGATTCTCTATTATGTATCATAATCCGCTTCATTTATAAATGAAATAAGATAGAAAATTTCTTGTTCTCTTCATTATATGCTCTATTACTATTAGATCTTTGGGTTACACGATGAAGAAAAAATATAGAAAAAGAAAATACATTACATTTACCCAGAAGAGAAGGAAGGGTGAGGAAGCAGAAACAAGTACATGATAATATATAAGACACTTTGCTATAGTGCCAACCTAGAAAATAATTAAAGTATGAGAAACTAATCAAAAGTAAAGCTGAAAAACATAAATATATTGTTTAGCAAATTCTATCCGATGTTTATTCATTTCTTTCACGATTATGAAAGAAAACTAGTAAATTCCATATGTCAAATCTTATTATAAGTATTATATCAATAGATAAATAATGAAATCAAATCTATTCACTTATAATAGAAGATAAACATATAACTAAATCAATTAGTTAACCTACATGAAATTTATAGTAAATTACATTAAAAATCAAAGATAATTTCAGTTTTGGGATTTAAAGATAATATATAAATTGATATAATCTCATATTATCACGCAAGATGCGCGTGTGGTATATTATTATATTAAGGATAAATGAAATTTTGTAATTGAGTATTATAGAAGAAAAAAAGAAGATTATTAGTAACAAATAAGCAATGTCATATTTCATAGTTATTATTTATTTTTATTGATTTATCAAAAAGTACCCTTGTAAATAATATTGAAATAAACTAGACGAGAGACACGCACATATGCATGTGTTTCTATTTGAATTATGTATTGAATTTCTCGACCTATAAACATGAAAGTGAACAAGATAGACACGTATATATATAGATATATAAATAGACAAAGAAAAACGGTTATGATCATTCCATTCCGGACGCTTCACGTTCGCCTAAAGAAACCTTTCCTATTGGTGTTAGTGCTTTCATATATAGTTGTTTCATAGAGAAGAAGAGTTTTCTCTCCACTCTATGTCTGTCGGTATGTGTATGTCGGCATAATTATTTTTCTTGACTTCATTTATTTTTCTCTCTTTGCTTGTTTCTCCCTCTCTCCCATTCTCTCTCTCGTATTCCTATCTGTCTCTTTGCTTACTTGTGTTTTTATGTAGAAATAGTATTAGTAGAAATAGTGACTATTGTTAAAAAAAAAACTACTTGTCGACATTAACAAATGCAATGACGCGAGAGCGTATAGCGCTCATGTTCGTGACATAACTCAACCGAGCATTTGACACGAGCGCAGGTGTGCTTGTTGTTTATTATGTGAACATACATTGACTGAAGACCTCTATTCTTTTCGCAACAACAATTAATTAGTTTATTAGACGCTTAAATCTACGAACAACTATATCAATAAATAGTCATCTCAAAATGGAAAAGAGTCCTTCATCATCACCACTAGCATCAACAAATACAAAACGTTCCTTTCAGCGAAAAAAACTTCAATATCAAGAACGAATTACCGAACAACAACTTCCATCATCATCTTTCTTAACAGCACCAGCATCAGCACCAACAGCAGCAACAACAACAACAACAACAACAGTAACAACATTAATGCCTAATTATTTAACAACAGATAGTATTCGAAAAGTATCCCCATCAAATATATCACACAATTTCGGAGATAAACAAATAAAGAAAAAGGTAGAAAGAATAGAAATTAACATAATTGATTTATTATTATTTTTTTTAAGTTTCCAAACATTGTATTTCTTTTCTTTTTCTCCCCTTTTCTAAATTTATCAAGTAGTAGACATGTTATTATTTAAAACATCATTTCATATTTTCAAGTATAGAAAAGAAAGAAAAGAAAATTAATTATTTCAAGTGAATTTCTTGAACAAATATGTTCATATTATCCTATATTAACTGACAAGACTTTTCTCTCCAGTTGACATAGGGGATTTATTTTTTTATGTAAAAAAAAAGGAAAAAAGTATCTTAACTTATTATTAAAAGTTGATGTCAGTTTATTTTCCACAACTACAATCCTTGAATAGAAAAGATATTTGGTAAGCATTAATGACATCTAATAAATGTTTCTTTTGTCTGTAACTAGATATTTGTACTACTAGAAAATTTGTAATCTTTTCAGGTTTACCAAAAGGTTATTTCAACTTCTAAGTATGTCATAATAATATACATAGAGAACAAAAAAAAATCAGATATAGAGAATGCGAGAGAGAGAGAGAAATGGAGACAAATTGATTTCAGTCCAACCGATTGTACTATAGAGTAATGCCAATCAACCAAATGTCATCTTGGGAATTTGCTTTCGTTGTTCGATGATAACAAAAGGCTAGGCTAGCGAACTAAAAAGGAGAGAAAGCAAGTTTCCGGTGGTTTTGTTAGCCTTAGTTGTATAGTGAACAATGAGATGAAGAAAGGAAAACAATGAGACGAATGAGAAATGGGATAACAACAACAGAACAAATCATAAGGTTATGTGTTTTGATGATCTCTATTCGTCTGAATAATTATTTTTCATTGATATTTCGAACGAAATAATATCAAATATATATATATATATATTTTCTTCTTCATCATCAATATAATTAAGTAAGAATATCTGTAATTCAGATTTAGTATTGTTTTC